TCGCCCGCAAAGGAGGTCTCGTGGACCTGGAGATCGACGGCGCCCTCAAGCGATCAGCCGTTAAGCCCGAGTGGAGGGCCCGCCAGCAGTTGAACTATAGTCGCAGGATTTCGACGGCAACCAAACCAATAGTGGAACCAAATTAACACATAATTTGAGTTGAATTTGAGTTTTCAATGAATTTAGTTTTTTTTAATAATTCACTTATGAAACCAATTTTTCATTGCTTTGATTCTCATATAATTATCTATTGATACCAATGATGTTGATGTACATAGATTTGAATACAATTTACAATTAAATGATTTTTGTTAAATATTTGTCTATCATTTGAGGACATCTTAAATACAGCATAACTTTGTGAATAGAGTGCAGAATAAAATGGTTTTTATATCAATTGCATTGCGAATACAGTACTTATAATTAAATCTATTAGATATGATTTTAAATATTTTTTATGATGTGTAAAAATTGCAATCAATTTATAAAATTTTAATATTTATTCAAATTTTTTTTGTGCCAATTAACTTACAATTGCTAGATAATTAATATAACATATTGTATAATTCTAGATACATATTCTTGTAATGAATAGATTAGAAAGTTAGTCCAGTTTTCTAAATTGTATTTTACTTTTACGGTATACTTTACTTTTGTTGAAATATTTTAAATTAACTTAAAGGTTAATGAAACTAAACTTAATTATATAAACAGATTATCTCATGATTCACACCAATTTGTGCTTCAATTTGCACTTTCATTAAGTCTAAAGTTTTTATGGCTTGTGACTGACCTATCAGTTGATCATCATTTCATTCATGTAAATGACATGGATTCAAATTTAAAAGTTTAAACACTTTGAGTACAAATTACAAAATATCAGTGAATTATGCTCAAGGTGCAAAGTCCTTCAATACAGACCTAATTGACCCACTTTTCCAAATTCATTATGCAATCACTGCTAGGATTGTGTGCAGTGACTACAGTGACTACAGTGACTACAGTGACTACAGTGCACCCATACCTACTGTACCACAACCAGTAAAACCTATGCGCACAGGCAGTTGGGCACTGGTATTGCAATTAGTTTGAGCGCCGGCTCTGAAACGACAGGCGCCGGCAAAACAAACCCAATGCGAGGCATAACATGTGAATTGTGTCCATACAGTGCCATACAATGCATGTAAATGTCATTGAATTCAGTATTGTTTTTGTGTTCATTTGTATTAAATGTGAAACTTTTGAAACTTTTTAATCACAAATGAATTAATAATAAGGAAATGAATACTAATTCATAGACTCTTCAAATGCTCTCAACTTTTCACTCAATACTAATCCAATGTATTATCCATTGGTTGACAACACTATGAAAAGCCATTAAGTCTTGACTCAAGTTTCGGTGATAATCACAAGACATACCAAAAATGTTGCACTTCTTGTACACCATAATAGCAAACCTCACCATCTGTGCCATCATTGGCTATAATGTGATCCCAATTGTGGTATATCTCTACCAAACATATGCGACCTCCAAGTCAGAGCCCAAACGACAGGCGCGACCACTGGATCCCAAATCCCCGTCCAGTCCGTGGGTTAATGAACACCACTTCGCCACCGATGATGACAGTCATAGCCATCGCAAGCACCGGTCGATTGTGGACCAGTGCTCGACTGTCACCCAACTGTTCCGGCGTATAGTCGGACAATACAATCGTCGCAAATGTCTGGGCTATCGATCCGTTTTGGCCGAAGAGGACGAGAGACAAGCGGACGGACAGGTGGTCCGCAAACGCCTGTTAAGCGACTATCAGTGGTTGACGTACGAGGAGGTGGACAGTCGTATGGAGTCAGTGGCCAACGGATTGTCACAAATTGGTGTTAAGAGCGGAGACATTGTGATGATATACGCGGACACAAGACTGGAATGGATGGTCACGTGTCAGGCGGTGTTCCGGTTGGGGGCGACTGTCGGCACACTTTACACCAATTTGGGTGATGAGGGCCTCCTATACGCCATCAGTCAGACACGAGTCACTCATTTGGTCACAAGTCTGGAGTTTTTGGCAAAGTTGGCCAAAATTGTCGATAAATTGCCTCAAATTAAATGCATTATATATATGGGCGGATCGGGCGATGACCCGGTGCTGAGCCAACTGTTCAGTGATAGCCAAAGACAACGAATACTATTTTATTCATACAAAGAGGTTGAGGGTATGGGCGATGAGGCGTCTGAAGAGCCGCTCCCGAGAGTGCAACAGAGCGGCAACGACACGGCTGTCCTCATGTATACGTCCGGATCTACTGGTGATCCCAAAGGAGTCTTAATATCTCATAAGAATCTGTTGTTTGCTGTGAAAGCCTTTTATGCGTTCGCCGGCGCCCTCACCCCCGATGCCGACCTGTACTGCGCTTTCCTGCCATTAGCTCATTGTCTTGAGATCTGCGCCGAAATCTCGTTTCTATCGGTCGGAGTGCCCGTTGGCTATGCCTCTGTCCTCACACTCACTGATCGGTCGCCAGCCGTGAAGAAAGGACTCAAAGGAGACATGAGTTTATTGAGACCGACAGTCATAGCCGCCGTTCCCCTCATTTTGGACCGAATTATGAAAGGAGTGACCGAAGAGATGGCAAAACGGCATCCATTGGTTCGCCTCTTAATCAACGGTTTATTGAATTACAAGAACTTTTGGGTCACAAATGGATTCAATACTCCAATAATTAATTACTTGATATGCAATCGGTTTAAGAGTCTATTGGGCGGACGCATCAGATTCATGGCCAGCGGTGGAGCGCCTCTCAGACCACAAACGCATCGATTTATTAGCAATTTATTTAACGTCAAAGTATTACAGGGTTTGTAATGTTTGTGGCATTTCTCGCACATCTAAGTAATCATTTGATTTCAGGCTATGGTTTAACGGAAACGACAGCTTCGGCTACTATTATGACTCTGGATGACCGAAGTGTGGGCCGAGTGGGTGCGCCCATGGATGGCGTGTACATCAGATTAGTTGACTGGACTGAAGGGGGTTACGGTATAAAAGACCTGCCGTTACCCAGGGGTATTTATTGTCAAGTGTTTTGATTTGTTTGTTGTTTATTTGAAATGTTTGTGGTTTGGTAGGAGAGCTAGTCATCGGTGGTGATTGTGTTACTAATGGATACTTCAGGAATCGGAAGCTTACGGATGAGTGCTTTAAAGTAGAGGACGGCATGAAGTGGTTTTATAGCGGAGACATTGCGGAACGGTATCCGGACGGCACCTTCAGGATCATTGATAGGAAAAAGGATATCATAAAGCTATCAAATGGGGAATACGTCTCATTATCTCAGGTATAGGTCTATTTACCTTTAGTTATACTTAGTCATGAAAATAACTTTGAAAATGAACTTAAAATTGATATTTTTTGTCATTAATTTATGGTTAGATTGAAGAGAAACTTAAATTATTCTCATATGCGGCCAATGTTTGCGTTTATGGCAATTCATTTTACAACAACTTAATTGCATTAATAGTTCCCAATTGCCAACAATTGGAGGCATTGGCACAAAGTCTGTTAAAATCTCCGCAAATGAGTGGCAAAGAACTGTGCGATGATTTCGATGTCAACGACAAAGTGTTTGAAGAGTTCAAAGAGTTTTGCAATAAATCGAGTTTAAGGAAAGTAGAGATCCCCACAAAAGTGATGTTATGTCCCGAGGAATGGCTTCCCGACAACGGTTTGGTCACCTCTTCGTTCAAATTGAAACGCAAAGCAATACAAGAGTATTATGACAAACATATCAGACATTTGTATGCCTTATAGAAATCTATTCAACTTTTACTGTAGTTATTGTTTCATTATTTAAATTCTATTAACATGTAGTACTATACCGTACAATAGAAAAGTGATTGATCACCAGTATTAATATAATATGAATTAAAATTATTACCGATAATTTTTTTTATACAGACATTGTACCGTATTTCACTTGCAGCAAACATACTTTGCGGCTCATAAGACCTGGAGCTTTGTATTGAGTTTGATATGATTATGATTAACAATATGTTATAGATTTGTACTTAAATTTATTAAATTATTAAATTATTTAATAATCTCGTGAATTTAAATATGAATTTTACTCATATTCTCAAACTGTTTCATTACAATTGTTTTGTTTCATTCATTATCTCATAGTCTAATAGAAAGCTATAAAAGTCTTAGTTCTTCAGTCTAATCCACACATCAAATGCTTTTTTCGGATTCAACGCTTGTATTGATAGTAATAGTAATGGTGGCCATGAATGGTGTGGTGGCCATAGATGTGTGTGGTTTCAATGACACCATCATAAGTCGGATTACTTATGCTTTCCTAATCGGCCAAACCCTTTACATCGGAAACGCCACCTTTTACTACAAAACTGATATAAAGGGCAAGAATTGGCATTTCGATGACGGGAATACCATTAGTGGCTTCTTCTCCCAATGTAACCATTTTGATGAATCCATTTAAACTACAGTCTATTCAATGATTGACTATTAAATGCTTGAATAGCCGACCAATTTGTGACGATCACGAGTGCCGTAGACTTCGGTGGCGCCGATCACTGCAACACAAAGGTGGCCGACTGTGAGGTTATGACCAAAGCTTTCGACAAAACTCTTGTAATCGGCGACATAGGAAGTGGTGGCAGCACTCCGTTCGGCTACAAGACTTACCTGACCAGAGGCGGGGCTCTTAATCCGGCTACCGATCCAAATGACATGCCCTGGAACTTGGCACTAAACGGTACGATTGGGGGAACGGTATCCACGCATAAAATGTGGCCGAAGGACAGGTATAACGGATATTTGTTTGCATACGACGGCACTCAGCAACTGTTGTACGCCATAACGTCGACGCCATCCACTCTGCAAGACGTGCCAGTAGTCGGTCCTCCCATCCAGAAAGTGGTCACTCAGATCCCCGTAGTGGGCGGTGTAGTGGCCGACTCATACCAATTACAGTATCGGCTNGAAGGACAGGTATAACGGATATTTGTTTGCATACGACGGCACTCAGCAACTGTTGTACGCCATAACGTCGACGCCATCCACTCTGCAAGACGTGCCAGTAGTCGGTCCTCCCATCCAGAAAGTGGTCACTCAGATCCCCGTAGTGGGCGGTGTAGTGGCCGACTCATACCAATTACAGTATCGGCTAATCGACGGCCAATTTAATGGTCAATTCGTTAGGAAAAGTGTCAAAAGACGGTATACGGCGCTTGTGGTCAGGAATAGCAATGTGTTTGCGTTAGCAGATAATGGGTTGGTGTATATACTTGAGCCCAATGCCAGTGGAGTGGCGGCTGAAAGGAAATCTGTAATACTTTTTATGCAATATTTCTCTGTTTTTGATTTATATTTGTCATGAAATTGTAATCTTTGTATTTAAAGTACAAATTGAAAGAGTTCTTGAATTGCAACCAAAGTTCTCCACTTTTGTCAACCGCTAGTCTTTTGCCCGCAATTAATACCGAGAAATCTAGACCTGGAAATGGTGTCGGAAAGGGAAACCATAAACCTATAGATAATGTACCGAAAAGTGGAAGTGAAGAGAGAGTTGGAACTGACGGCCAACTCAGTGGCGACGACACCAGTCATGAAGAGACTGATCCGACCTCTAAAGAAAACAAATCAAATATAATTATTATAGTAATTGTGGTCATAGTGATCGTTATACTCATTGCAATCTTATGTTTTAGTTGTTTCGGTGAGTCTTATACTGTATAAGTGTATAGTTGTCGATGTCTTATAAATACAATCCTATTGTTTAGTTTTGAGATCAAATAGTGAACAAAATGAGAAATCGCCTAAACTGTCAAAACCTAAGGTTACCCCAAAACAGGTGTTAAAAGTTGGGACACCGGCCAAGCCTTCAAACATAGACAAAGCCTCTAGATTTAAGATACCGAAGACACCTACCGGTGCCGCTAAAGGATCCACTGAATCAAAGATTGGTTCTCAAAAAATCAATTTATCAACAGTTTCTGTCCGATCAAAAGTTTTATGATTTGCATTTGGTTTCCATTGTTTTATTCAAAATTTAGTTTTTGAACCCAAATATATTTTATTGATTCAAAAGTTATTTAAATAATGTTTTAATATTCTATATGATTCTTATTCTGGATTTAAGCATTGATTATAAAATATAATAAAAATATAAAGTTTTATGTATTAATACTGTGGTTAAGAATAGGGATATAAAATACAGTCATTCATATTTAACCTGATTGTGGATATAATTAAGAAATGATATGATAAACAAAGCATCACTTGATTCGGTTCTTAACATACGGTGTTTAGCCATACAAACTACTGTATTATGTGCCAGGTGAAAATTGTAATTTCAGTGCCCTCATACACTAATAGCTCGCATAACAAACTGTACAAAATGAATAAATAATGCGAGTGACCACTAATTGTGTTAATCTCGTGAATTTAAATACGAATTTTATTCAAACTTTGTATTACTGTATTACAAACACTCCAACCGTTTCATTACAACCGTTCCCACAGTTTTCAACTGAAAAAGTCTGAATAAGTTCTTCAGTTTAATCCAGACATCAGATGTTTGTCTCGCATTCAACGTTCGTATGGATAGTATTGGTGGCCATCAATGGTGTGATGGGGGATACCATGGATGTGTGCGCTTTCAATGGCACCATCATGGATAAACTAACCGGCCTTTTCCTAATCGGTGACACCCTTTACTTCGGGAACACCACCTATTACTACAGGGCTAACATAAAGGACAAGGTTTGGAAGTTCGACGGTGGGGCTGACATTGGAGACCCTGACATTAGGAGTCTCTTCACTGATTGTAAGCGTTTTAATGAATCCCTTTACACTACTGTCCATTGAATGACTAACTTCTTAATCACCCAAAAGCGGCCCAATTTTCTGACTTCACGAGTGCCCTGGACTTCGGCCCCGCGAATCAATGCACCAAATCGGTGGCCGACTGTGCGGTTATGACCAAAGCTTTCGACAAGACTCTTATGATCGGCCGCATGGGAAGTGGTGGCATCAATCAGTTTGGGTACAAAGCCTACCAGACCCCAGCCGATGCTTCCAACCCATCTCCGGTGACCGACAACGACGAGATGCCCTGGAATTTGTCGCTAAGCGCCGCCATTACGAGCACTAATAACACGTTTTGGCCGATTGACGACTCCTACAGTCACTACTTGTTTGCATACGACGGCACAGACCAACGCGTGTATGCCTTGACCGAGACACCGTCCGGGCTCAATAAAGCTCCCATCCTTGGTCCCATCTTTGGGGGTATTGCCAATGTTCTGGGTGTTACTGGTGATCATAAATTGCATTATCGACAAATCGACGGCAAATACACTACAAAATTAGCGCAAGGAAAGTATCTTGGACTTGTGGTCAGGAGTGGTAATGTCTTTGCCTATGAAAATTATCTTGCGGTCCATCTGTTGGACCCTAACGGCGCCAAAAAAGTGGCGACTGAAGTGAAAACTGTAATACCTTTGATGTAAAATATTTGTGATTTTTACTGACAATTCATTCTCAATTCAATTCATTTAAAGTACACTTTGAAAGAGTTCTTGAATTGCAACCAAAGTTCACCCCTTTTGATGTCTCGTATTTTGCCCAAAAATGACAACGAGTCAAATGGATCAGATAGAGACCCTGAGCCTAATGACACCAATGACACCACAACACCCAATGGCAACGAAACGGGTGGCAAAGTGACGGGCCCTCCGGATAATCGATCAAAATTCATGACTGTATTGATCGTGTTGTTTGTGATCGCAGTACTCATTGCACTCATTTGTCTCATCTTTTGCTGTGAGTCTTACACATGAGAACAGCTTTCCGTGTCTTATGTCTTATATACCACTCAATGTGTTTCAGGCATGCGATCAAAGAGTGGACAAAAGGAAAGGGTTCACACATCCAAACCGGACCCCAATGTTAAATCAGAATCGCTATCAAAGGCTGAGCCGTCGACCACACGTTCAGCCGATGGATCTGAAACCTCGATCACCGGCGCCGCTCAGGGATCCACTCAATCGAAGATTGGTTCTCAAGAAAGCAATGTATCGGTTGTTTCCGTCCGATCCAATGCTAATTGATTTGCATTTATTTCTGTTCAAAATTATTTTTGTTATTCAATTTAGCCTCTGATCTCAAATGTTTTATTTATTCACAAGTTATTTACCGTGAATTCATTTTCTAATGTTTTATATTAAACTTTGATTATAAAAATAAAATATAAATATAAACTTTTATCTATTAAAACCATTTACGTTTAAAATATTTCAATTAAATGATGCATAGAAAATAATTCCCAAACTTATAATATTGATTTCATAATTTTTTTGTATATACAATGTAAAAATGAGTGAATATACTGTAGAATTAAATTGTTATTTAATTGTCATTATTAACACTAAATCAATATCTATTACCATCTCTTCAGCCCTGAAGAAGATCTCAGTGTAGATCGAAAACGTTCGGATAATCTCTTATTTTTGATACCATTTAACTGATTTTATAAAATAAGTTATTGAAAACTAATATTTGAATTTTTACGTATTTAATAATTTCCTAAATGTGCTAAACCTTCACTCAAACTTCAATAAATAAACTAAAAGTAGAGAATTCATGAATAAATAGATTGATTGGAAGCTAATTGTTAGCAATGAATGCTGTACTAAAACAATGAATTAATTTCTATGAACGAGCTATACATCGATTAAAATAATTTATTTAAAATTCAAAACTTAACACAAATTCTAAATATTAACGGAATTTAACAGTCGTTTCAATCCTACCATTAATTGTCATCAAAAAAGTAAATCTTATAGATCTTTGAAACCAAAGACAGTATCAAATCACTCGACACTTGGATTCAATGAATATGTGGTCCAAACCTATGATGGCTTTCATTGGGCTGACAATCCTGTCGTTGAGTCCATTCATTGGCTGCTTATGTCTGAACCGATTGCGGTCATCAACACCACCGGAGAGCACCGACTGTCCGACCCTATGCTCTGACGGACTGCCCATCACCGCCATCACCGGGATTGAGGGGACGCCTAAGTTGCTGATAGTTAGCGGCGAATGTGTTTTCGTTGTGGACCCGACTCGCGATGGCACGGATCAGATCAGACACGGGTTCAGACATTCGATGGCCTTTCAGGACATTCAGGACATGTTTGCCGTCAAAGACACCGCCGAAGACATCGAGTTTGTCAGCCTTTATGTGAGTATCAATCCATGGAAACAGTGGTTATGTCCTTCAGTTGTAAACAATTGTCTTAACTATGGCTCGCATTTGATAGGCTTCGGGAACTATAGTCGAGATTATCGGCCCCAACGCCACGATCAACGGAACCGATGGTCAGGTGATGTCTAATGTGTTTGAAGGGCTGACCACAGACCTGGATGTGCCCATCGATGCCGCCTTCGTCTGGACCTCCAA